CAGTGTCAGAAGGGCTGTACTCCCGGTGGAGAAGCCGAGCACTCTCCTGATCTGCGCCAAGAGATCAGGAGGTACCAAACCTAGGGCACCGAGAACAATGGGGAGCCTGGCGACAGTGTACTTGGGATGCAAGCGAGACATTTCAAAGGCGAGGTCCACATATTTATCATGCTTTTCCTGAATCTTGCCAATCACATTGGTGTCAAAAGGGACAGAAAATTCAATGATATAAATATTTTCATTGGCTTTATCAAAAAGGACAAGATCAGGTTTGTTAGCTGGAATTCTTCTGAGGCTGTATATGGGTCTATCCAGAACAAAGCTGCACGCATCATCACTCTCACCAGTCCTCGCTGTCACATCTCTCCCATTCTAAACTCTCTACACTGGCTCCGTATTCGTGAAAGGATTGATTTCAAGATTCTCTGCCTCACCTACCAGTCTTTCTACAACTCAGGACCTTCCTACCTTCAAGACCTTCTGACACATTACTCTCCAGAAAGAACACTGCGCTCATCACAACAACTGTTACTTGCTGTCCCGAGCTACAATCTCAAATCATTTGGCTCAAGGACCTTTTCATATGCAGCAGCTTCTCTGTGGAACTCTCTCCCTATCGAGTTAAAATCATCTCCTTCCCTAATTACATTCAAAACACGACTAAAGACTCATCTATTTCTTCGCTTCAAGTGACTTCCAATCATCCGTACCTGCCAACTGTATATAGTTTTAACTTGAGCTCAGGAAGCGCTTTGACCATATCCCTGTGACGTGGAAAGGCGCTATATAAATGGCCTATTATTGCTATTATTATTATTCCAGAGAATGATGCCCTGGACATGTTCAGGGTCGTACCATGGATGGACCTCGGAGTCAAAGCCACAGGCATGTCGGAGACGGTAGTAAAAGCAACGAGCCATGCTATCATGTCCTTTAAGATATGATGTTTGTGCCAAGGAAGGGCATCCACTGACAAGGTGTTGGACAGTCTCCGTGAATTCATTGGAAAGTCAACATTTCATATTGATATTTTCTTTAAGAATCACATTTAGGCGATTGCGAGTGGGAAGTGACTGGTCCTGAGCAGCAAAAAGGAAGCCCTCAGTTTCACATTTAAGACCAGCCGACTTCATCCAGACGAAGGAGTGGGTGGGAGTGCTATTCTGTTCAACACACTGCATGTACACACGATGCAATGGATCCTCAGAAAGCTTCTCCACAAAAGACCGACTCTGGGCAGACTTGGTGACTTCACCTGGTTTACTCCCATCACTGTACCGTCCAGCAGTACATCGCCATCAACAAAATCAACCTCAAATCTCAGATTCTGTCCAACAACCTTGGTACGCTTAAAATAGCTGTGGAGTAATTATTATTATTATATTTATGTCCAACATTTGTATTTTGATATTTCACCAACCTGAAAAAGTATTTGAATAATGACATGAAACGTCCCGTTTCCCCAGCAGTTGTATACCGTACAGAATAGCAACATCATCATTCGAAACACATTTACCGTAGTGACCCAAATAATCAAGGATGAAACAAGGTAGTAGTACCCTAACTAGAACTGTATCTTCTGTCACCATAGTTACATACCCTTATGTCACTCTCTAATACCAGCTACCGTATGTACCAAAGTTTGGTATTGAGAAAATAAATGCTGACATTACAGTTAGAATATCAACCAGATTTAAATCTGAGCACTTCGCACCGTTTGCCTTATTTGACCATTCATGTATTTTGATAGCTAAAATTTACTTACACACGTCGTAATTAACGCGACATACCGCAATAGTCATAAATCCTTACCCCCAGTAACGTATTAGGCGCGATATACCATAATTGTCACAAATCCTTACAGTAGTTAAAGAACAAGCACAACATGGCGAACATGCTATAATTGAATTGTTAGGCACTCCACTCTGTATTCTGGAATTGTTGTTAACGTATGCAAGTGAGTAATTGAACCCGGGTCTTCAACCCCTCTGCTACTATTGCGTATGGTATGAATATAACATCTGATGAGATGCACAATCATTACCACGGTTGCATTATTTATTCTTAAGTATTTAATCAAAGGTTAAATTTTCTTTGCACATGTCAGAGCAAACATATACCATCCACACCAGGTTAAGAATAATAATATTCATGATGACAATGCACTTATTCCCAAATGAATCAGTTAAACAAACAATTTATGACATCACTTCGAGGTTGCCAACTTAAGTATGTCACAACAGGGATTCAGTCAGTGTACAGAACGTAGGTCCACCAAAACAAGCCATCAGTCAGAATGCGCTAACTTTGGTTAATGGTTGATCAGGATTATACCTTGGTCAACATGAGTTCAACAGGTCAGTCAAGATTTTCGGTCACAGCCAAGAGCCCTTTTACCTTTCTTCACTTCTAAGAGACTACAATGCTTAGTCTATTTCCAAAGACTCAACATTGACTAAAACGGACATGTTTTATATGTGTGACAAATGACGTGTGTAATAAATGTATCTGCGACAAATGACTTGCGTATGTATACAAATTTTACATGGAAGGATATTGGCAGAATGAGTGGATCATGGATCATGGATCTGAAACATTGTGGTCTTTCCAATGTTTGGGTTATGATTGTAGGTAAATGCAACATGACGTGTTGGAAAGAATAGTTTTCCAGAAGAATAAGGACCTCTGGACAGAGATGTCCTTTAGAAAACCGTCAATCATCCTGTAGTCCCTCTTCCCACTGTCAATCATTAGCCATTATTTATGTCAGATCTACAGGTGTGTTCTTTAACTTCTTAACACTATATCACTAGCTGAATATTGACATTACCATTGACAAGAAAATTCTTCGACAAGTTGACAATTGGAAAATAATTATGCTTACAAACTCATGATATAATTGCTTCATACTTTATACACATAAACAGGTAAAAAACACTTTTCATGCACAAAATATATCAGTATGTATTGACATGATGTATTCCTCGCACAATAATTGTACATTTAAATATGCGAGAAGGGACATAACTCTGTATACCTTTGACAACTTGCCACCAATGCAACGTTCGGCATAGCATCTGGCCCGCAAACCAATTGATAGATGATTGTGAATCGGGCCAGTAATATATTGTTAAGCTACCCCGACTGGCTAGTTAAAACTCTCTGATAATTTGTGCTCTATGTAATGCACATGAATGTGATGAATTCAATTATTAAGGTGTGAAAATACCGTCCGCAAAGGCTTCGAGATATTTATTATCTGTTGTCACACGAAGATCGCTGTTTAAAAATATTAATAGCGTTGAGTATATATCTTTCTTTTAGCATTTTTGATATTGATATTTTGTAGGGCCAGTGAAGTATGGTATGGGCTAGCAAAGTCCTCCTGGCCAGTGACTTTCAAAATTAGTTCATACACTGCATGTATATGTATGAATGTTACAAATGTATTTATACATTTGGGGCGGTGGGGTAGCCTAGTGGTTAAAGCATTGGCTCGTCACGCCGAAGACCCGGGTTCGAATCCCCACATGGGTACAATGTGTGAAGCCCATTTCTGGTGTTCCCCCGCCGTGATGTTGCTGGAATATTGCTAAAAGCGGCGTAAAACCAAACTCAGTCAGTCAGTCAGTATTTATACATTTAGGAGCAACGGTCATCTGACCCCTGACTCCCTTTCATGACCAAATCGTGTTGTTCCAAGATTTGCCGAACAGGTTCTTCTTGAGGTTACGGAAAGGGGCGAGTGGTGATGAATGACCATATTCACTGATTTCGCGAAACCTCTCGCGAAGGGCACGGTTTGTTGGTTTGTTGCATAATGCCGCTCTCAGCAATATTCCAGCTATATGTCTCCGCGGTCTGTCAATAATCGAGTCTGGGACAGATAATCCAGTGATCAACAGCAAGAGCATCAATCAACACAACTGAGATGCGATGACATGTGTTAACGAAGTCAGACCACAGCCTTTTACGACAAGCATGAGTTGATGGAAACCAATTCTACAAGAGGTGTCCCAAACGTTTCCGGCCTCCCTCACTAACATGCAATCTATATGACAGTTGTAGTACTTATTTTTCAACGTCATCCCCCTTCACTTCAAAGCACTTGTTCCAACGTTTCTCCAGCATATTTAACCCGTTTGAAAACCATTGTTTGTCACGTGACCCTAAAAACTCCTCCACAGCAGCGATGACCTCCTCATCCGTCTCAAATATGCGGGCCCTGAGGACAGATATGAGTTGAGGGAAGAGGAACAAGTCAGAAAGGGCAAGATCTGGAAAAAAGGGTGGGTGAGGGAGGATCTTGAAATTTCTGTCCTGTGCGGCACTCACTGCCACTTGGGCCGTGTGAACTGGAGCATTGTCCTGGAGGAGCCAGACACTTAGGCGCTTTTCTCTGATCTGATCACACAACCTACGAAATTCATCAAAGTAATATTCACTATTTATTGCGGAAGAACGCTTCTTTAAATGGTCAATCATGATCACGCACTCAGAGTCCCAGAAACAGCCACTGGAAAGCGTTCTTTTAAACTTTTGGGGCGTTGGTGACGTCACGGGCTTCCACTGCATTTTTTGACTCTTTGTCTCTGGGTCAAAGTGATGAACCCTGATATCACCCTGAAATCCCATGAAAGCATGTGGATCTCTCCGATACCCCTCGAGAAGCTGGCCACAAACCACGGCTCTGACGTTGTGTTCTTCAGATAATATTCTGGGCACCCAGCGGGCAGACACCTTAGTCATGTGCAAATGTTCGTGGATTATTTGTTCCACTGATGTTTTGCTAGTGTAATGTGCAGTAGCTAAATGTCTAACAGTTATTCGCCTGTAATGCATGGGACACCCTCGTAACCTCGTTATATGACGAAGTCTACATGTCGACGATCTCATCACGACAATAGGTCACGGAGTACTCAGTAATCGGTGGAGTTGTCTCCCGTAGCTGATGACAGGATCCCATAGTGAAGCACAAAATATGACTATAAATACTCCAATTTGTGTAGATGCTATGCTTTAATGCGTTCAGATGTACAGCTAGCAAGCACCCTGGTGTGCGACCTTGACCGTGGTAGTTTCCTCGGCCCTGTGTGAAAACAAACGATTGTTATTTTTACAGACATTATTTCAAGTAGATGAGAGTAACCCCGGGTAACTTTGAAGACGGAATACTGAGAGCATCACTCGAATATGTCCAGTCAGCCATGATGTAGTGCTTGGGAATTGCTCCAAGTGACGTAGAAAAAACAACCCCATTGGAAAATTAACATATCTGTTTTTGTGTCCCTTACAACACTGTTGACTGTATATATACTAACAGACTGACATGCCTTACACTCACTACATAGTGGAGTAGATAACTGAAAATTTCAAGAGAATCGTTCACTTCCGGAAACAAGCACCAAAATCGGCACACATGCTCCTGGGGGATTGTTCTTTTCATAAAACCCGTCAGCTATAAAATTCAAAATGGCCGCCATTGAATATATAGAGAATCTTACCCTCGTGTCTTTTGATATCAAATATATCACCACGAGTTGAAAAAGTTACGAATATCCGAGGCTTGCCGAGGATATCTTTACTTTTATCAACGAGTGTTGATATATTTGATATCAGAAGACACGAGGGTGAGATTCTATTTATCATCCAAAATCACTCTTCATTAGCTTTCAATAAAAAAATGTACATCTCTGAACATGGTTCTGCCATTAGACTTGCAGTGCAGCGATGTCATAGCATTGTGACGTCATCAAGTTCTTGACGTCATAGCATTGTCAGGACATTGTACAAAATCTACTGTCAAAACTGAGATATCATATGATCTCACACAAGCAATATCTCATGTGGAACATAGTTTTAAATGATGAATAGAAATATTGCATTTTGCAACAAAATTGCAGAGACCTGTCCGATTTGAACGATCTTGGTGTCAAATCATACATTTTTGACTATGTAGAATCCGAATTTTGAATCTTGGACTTATTCACTAGCTTCCCTGTGTCATATATCGGACTTACATGTCTAACACTCACTGCAGTGTTGTAGTACAGACTCACATGTCTAACACACACTGCAGTGTTGTAGTTCAGACTTACATGTCTAACACTCACTGCAATGCTGTAGTACAGACTTACATGTCTAACACTCACTGCAGTGCTGTAGCACAGAATTACATGCCTAACACTCACTGCAGTGCTGTAGTACAGACTTACATGTCTAACACTCACTGCCGTGCTGTAGTACAGGTTTACATGTCTAACACACGCTGCAGTGTTGTAGTACAGACTTACATGCCTAACACTCACTGGAGTGTTGTAGTACAGGTTTACATGTCTAACACTCACTGCAGTGCTGTAGTACAGGTTTACATGTCTAACACTCACTGCAGTGCTGTAGTACAGACATACATGCCTAACACTCACTGCAGTGCTGTAGTACAGACTTACATGTCTAACACTCACTGCAGTGCTGTAGCACAGACTCACATGTCTAACAGACGCTGCAGTGCTGTAGTACAGACACATGTCTAACACTCACTGCAGTGCTGTAGTACAGACTTACATGTCTAGCATACACTGCAGTGCTGTAGTACAGACTCACATGTCTAACGCTCACAGGCGTGCTGTAGTACAGATTTACATGTCTAACACTCACTGTAGTGCTGTAGTACAGACTCACAAGTCTAACACACACTGCAGTGCTGTAGTACAGACTCACATGTCTAACGCTCACTGCAGTGCTGTAGTACAGACTCACATGTCTAACGCTCACTGCAGTGCTGTAGTTCAGATTTACATGTCTAGCACACACTGCAGTGCTGCAATTCAGACTTACATGCCCAGCGATCACTGCAGTTCAGACTTATAATTACATGCACAGCCTTACGCTAAATGATCACGTCAGTCTATGCTTAATTTCTGAAGTTCACTTACATGCACAGCCTAACACTCATTTCACAAGAATTGGCGTATGTCATCCCGTTAGTTCCACAGACCGGTGCGTAGTTCAATGGACATATTCTCTGGCACAGGCGAATGTCAACAGCACCAACCGCTGTAAAATAACGGAATTAGTTCATAAAGGTTTTTGTTAAAGGTTGACGAATAGTTTCCATTTACCTCTCGACTGAAGTCGCTCTTGTGACTGATATATTAATATTGTCTTCAGCCTTGAAGACTAGGAGTGAACAAGTTTTACATACACACAGACAGACAGGCACTGTTCGTACGATTAATATCAAACTTGTGCATCTAGATTTCAATGGTTGGAACAAAAGAATACAAATTATACAATGGAAACACAAGTGACACTTAGTGCTATACTCACCAGCCAAAAGCAGAGCACAGACCAGAAAGGTTCGTAACATCATGTCTACTTGTGTGTGAAATGGACAACTGGCGTTAAGTGTTCTTATGTGGGGTTTTATCTGTTGTCACCTGTTTATCTACAGGAGTGACAAGTTTATTATATTTACATTCTTAAGGGGCAGCCAATTACATCATCGTAGTACAAAACATTTATTGCATTGTTTTGTAGTAGTAGAAGCAGCAGTAGTAGGCAGCAGTAGCAGCAGCAGCAGCAGCAGCAGGAGTAGTAGTAGTAGTAGTAGTAGTAGTAGTAGTAGTAGTAGTAGTAGTAGTAGTAGTAGTAGTAGTTGTAGTAGTAGTAGTAGTAGTAGTAGTAGTAGTAGTGCTTGTCTGTTTCACCTGAGTTGTACCTGTCCAGTACCTGCGTCACGTGATTTCCTCCCTCATCAAGCTGACATACCTGGTATTACTACAATTCTATTCAAAACAACGTTTCTCACGCAGCAAGAATCAACACAAAACTATAAGTTATGCAGTAAAAACACAAGTAGGCACAATACTCACGGGCCAGCAGACCAGGCTCGTGACATCATGTACTCTCGTGTGTGTTTATCTGTTCCGGGCTGTTGATCAGCTACGACATGTCTTTACAGTGAGTGAGTGAGTTTAGTCTTACTTCTCTTTTAGCAATAATTCAGCAATGTCACTGTGGTAGACACCAGAAATGGCTAAAGACATTGTAGTCATGTGGGGATTCTAGTACTTTTGGGGTTGAGTCCCATCCGGGATTCGAACCCACACCCTCAGAGCCAGGCACCTAGTCGCCAGTACACAAAGCCAGATGCCCAGACCGCTCAGCCACCGCGGCTTCCACAAAGTTAAAAGTCTGACAACTGGTAGTCTAGACTGTGGACTTTGTGTACCCCTCTGATAAGTGTTAATTGGTACGGCTCCCACGGACGAAAGCTATGAAGGCTGCGGGTTCGAATCCCGGATGGGACTCAACCCAAAAAGTACTAGAATCTCTACTTTACTAAGAAAGTGTAATCCCAAATATGACATATGTTACATACTGCTTAAAGTGTTTGCTGGTCACGCCGAAGATCCGTGTTCGATTCTCAACATATGTTACATTTGACCAACTTTCTGAAATGGCATTGTGTATTTCACTTTAAGCACAAGGCTACCCAACCGGGGAAGGAGGAGGAGAAGGAGGAGGAGAAGGAGGAGGAGGAGGAGGAGGAGGAGGAAGGGGGGGGAGGAGGAGGAGGGAGATGGAGGAGGAGGAGGAGAAGGAGGAGAAGGAGAGGAGGAGGAGGAGGAGGAGGAGGAGGAGGAGGAGGAGGAGGAGGAGAGGGAGGAGGAGGAGGAAAAGGAGGAAGAGAAGGAGGGAGGAGGAGGAGGAGAAGGAGGAGGAGGGAGGAGGAGGAGGAAGGAGGAGAAGGAGAAGGAGGAGGGAGGAGAGGAGGAGGAGGAGAAGAAGGAGGAGGAGGAGGAAGGAAGGGGAGGAGGAGGAGGAGAAGGAGAAGGAGGAGGAGGAGGAGGAGGAGGAGAAGGAGGAGGAGGAGGGAGGAGGAGGAGGAGGAGGAGGAGGAGGGAGAAGGAGGAGGAGGAGGAGGAGAGGAGGAGGAGGAGGAGGAGGAGGAGGAGGAGGAGGAGGAATTAATCAAAACTGACCACAATACTGCTGTCATTTTTATCACCATGACTTATGCTTATTGTGTGTACATAGTTTTCCATTAGGTGACATTTGGTGCGGAACTCGGGTTGATGTGTTCCGCTTCCCGTGCTCGGTACATTATCCGGACAAGGTGGCCAGAAGTTGTTTTATTGTAGTTTGAAGGCCAGGCTGTACCCAAGTGTACATGGAATAGCTGTTGATAGCCTGGATAATTTTAGAAATGAATATAAGGTTACTATAGAAGTCTATGGGAAAACATTTGGTGTTGTGTAACCTAGGGCAAATCTCGTCGTGGGAGGTCACGGAATACCGCATGAGTGATAAGCAGAGTTACCCCCTTATATGATGTTAGAATCCATCGTTGAAGCACTTGGTTTCTTCGCGGTTAATGATGACTCAAAAGAGTGACTATAAACACAACAATTGTTGTACATGTTGTTCTTTAATGCGTTCACATGTTCACATGTACAGCTAGCATGCACCTTGGTGGGCAACCGTGACCGTAGCAGTCTCCCCGGACCTGGAACATAGTGATGGAAATACCTAAAACTGTCAAGTTGATTTAAGTCTTTAGTCTATACAATCGCGGTCCCAGGCAATGTTGTTCACAAGCAACTGAGAACCATGGCTTTGGCTTATTTGATTTTTTGTTTAGCGTTTGTTTGTGTTTGTGTGTGTGTGTGTTTGTATTTGTGAGTGTGTTTGTTTTGGTTTTTTTGTGTGTGTTTTTGTGTTAGTCTTTTGTTTTTGTTTCGCTTTTTGTTGGGTTTTAAAGGTTTTTTTTATGTGTATTGGTTTGTTGTTGGTTTTTGTTTTTTGTTTTTTTGGTGTGTTTTTCGTGTGTGTGTGTGTGTGTGCTTATTTGATTTTGTTTTGTTTTGAAAATATATTTGTTTGTTGTGCTTGGTTGGTTGATATTGTTGTTTGTTTGGTTATTTGATTTGGATTTTTGGGTTAATCTTTGTTTGTTTGCTTTGTTGTTTGTTTTGGGTGTGTTAAATTGCTTTTTTAATTTGTTTCAAGAAGTGATGGTAGTTGTTTTCTAATTTTGTGTTAGTCTGCAATCATTTTTGTACCTAAAATCAGTTTAACGATGTTAAGGGCCATGCGAAGGGTTACTTCCCTTTGACGTGCAGAAATCAATAATATTATTTATTCATGATTACAATACTGTTAAAAACCACGTTAACGGATCGCAATGGAAAGTCATTGATGCACTTGATGCTGGAATATTGTTCGATGTGGCAAAAGTCAGACAAACATTGCAAGAATCATTAAGCCGTTTTAGTAAACTCTTGTGACGTCTATCCGTAGATTCTGTAGACTTACATGCACAGACGCGCGCCCATTTCACAGGAATTTGAGTATGTCACTCCGTCAGATCCACAGATGGGTGCGTAATTAAGTGGACATGCTCTCAGACACATCCGGAGGTCAGCTGCGCCAACGACTGTAATAGTAGTGAATTAGTTGATGAAAGCGTAACTATGCTAAAGGGAGCGTTGGGGTAGCCTAGTGGTGAAAGTCTTCGCTCTTCACGCCGAAGACCGGGGTTCAATTCTCCACATGACCACAGTGTGTGAAGCCTATTTCTCGTGTCCCACGCCGTGATACTGCAGGAATATTACTAAAAGAGGCGAAAAACCATACTCACTCTCTCACTCACTTATGCTAAAGTCTTATAAATGGTTTGGCAACTTGAAACTTCCAGTCATGCGTGGCTACGAAAGAGTTGCGTCCCTTGGTATGTTTGAATATGTTTGAATCCGATTCGCCTGATCAATATCAATTGTCTGGGTTTCAAGTGATTCGACTGATCGCAATGTAGGATTTCACATTGTCTGACACCCACTTATGACCCGTGACCAAACATGTTGTTTAGTTATCATGATTTGACACCTGTTTAAAGTGTAGGAAATTCCTTCCACATTAGACAATGTGTTACCCACTGGTATGACCCGTGACTCACTAACATGTTGTTTCGTTAAGTCATAGAGACACATCGGACTCAGTTTAGACTTTTCCAGACGCTGAAACGTCAAGGTCTCAGGGAGAAGTTTATAGTGGAATCCAGTGTGCGAAATAGCAAAAGGCCTGCTAGCCCGTGGCTAGTAAAATTCCACTCGGGCCAGTAAATCCCCACAGTCACTGTTCCGACTGGCTAGTGCATTTTCATCGGGTCATTCTGTAAATAAGTCACTCTCTCCGACTTGTTAAGTTATAACACACTTTTAAATCATGTAAGATTATGGCCTGATAAAACTGTTCATCATATTACCATCTTAATGATGAAACCCGTGTGTACATTAAATTTCAGGACTAAATTAGTGAAATATTTTGTGGGCTAGTAACTTTCAGGCATAGCTAACCTGACTGGTTGGCAAAATATGGAAACTATTCCCACACTGGTGACATCGGGGGCTTATCCCGCTTTACACACACACGCACGCACGCACGCACGCACGCACGCACGCACGCACGCACGCACACGCACACGCACACGCACGCACGCACACACACACAGATCCTCCACACACAGACACACACACACACACAGGTGAGATACGCACACGCGCGCGCGCACGCACGCACGCACCACATTATATAGATCCTCCAATGGTACTCCACATGAGCCTTTGTCTACTTCTACGGTGTCTGACCGTGCCTTCTCAGCTTGCAGTCTCCAGTTATGGAACTCTCTGCCATGAGAACTAAGCAGCACCAAATTCAAAGATCTTTTCAAGCCTTTCCTTAAAAGTCACCACTTGCGCTCAGCATTCCACTAGACTTTCAGGATTGTGTGCATGAGTTGGGCTTTAACTTTGTCATAGCGCCACTGAGCACGTGTCGATGGATGCTAGGCGCTATAAATCAATTTGTCATTTGAAGACAGAAAAAGGCATAGCACTAAATTTAAAGGCAGGCAATTTGTTAGCGACATTACACAGTTACAATTTATGATACAGATCAACTTCCCTCAGGTAGTTCAGGGCTATCAGATGAGCGCTGTGTGTGCCCAGAGAGAGCTGGTTTTATAGTGCTAGCCACACTGAGATTATTCCATGCCAGTGAAGAACAAGTGATTAATAAACATTGTCAGACACAGTATACTGAGTTTTGATCCGACCAGTCCTTGCTGTACCCATTATTGCCGAGCGCCAGGCAGAGAGAGAGAGAGAGAGAGGTATGAGAGCACCACGGAGAGAGAGAGAGAGAGAGAGAGAGAGAGAGAGAGAGAGAGAGAGAGAGAGAGAGAGTTCGTTCGTCCTGAGAGACAGCTTATTACTAGACTGAAGAGAGAGAAATATATATATACTCACGGGCGAAAGAAACGTCACCAAAATGATTTTTTTTTATCGTTTATCGTACACTAAGTGATTATTCATATCTGTAGTTCACACTTTCATCATTCAGAATGTTGTAAATCCATTAATTTTCCACATATGATTGTTAAATTTCCAAAATCTGAGTTTGTTGTTTTGTGACATGTTAAAAAAGCGAGGTGACGTTTCTTTCGCCCGTGAGTTTACAATAACGTTATATCAAAATGCACATATGCTTTACTGGTCGGGAGATCAAGAACAAATACAGGTTAGGTTGAGGAAATACAAGAAACTCTTTACTCACCAGCCAAAAGCAGAGCACTAAGGAGGAAAGTTCGCAACATGATGTGTGTCAAATGAACAACTGGCGTTCTGCGTTCTTTTAAATTTTTCTGTGCTGGAATGTATATCTCCAGTGGGTCTAAGGTGTGGCAACCAGTTACGTATGTACACCTCTTATATCTGCAATGGAATTTCTCACCCGCAGCCACTTGTGGGATAAGCCACCTGTTATGACTCGTGTATCACGTGATATGTACCCATGGAGACACTCACAGCTGCATGTGAGTATCACGTGACAATAAACGCTTGGCAATCGTTCACCGTATGAAACGGTTTAAATAGATTTCGTTGGCTTTTGACTCCATTCTTAATTTCAAGGAATAACCTTTCATCGAAAGTCAGATATTCTAGACGGTCTGTTACGATGTAAATTGTAATGAAAATGTAAACTGTAATACTTGCCGCAAATTGTAATAACTCTTGACGTAAATATTGTAATGAAAACGTCAGTTGTAATCAAAATTGACTAAAACTGTAATATGCAAATTGTAATAAAAATTTACGTACATTGTAATTATTTGAGTTGCGTAAGAAATGTCATAAATATTTACGTGAAGGTTTAACATTCACACGTTTATAAATAAAGAGTTCGCCAACACAACAGCAGCCTCTATTGTTGTGTTTCTGTTTACTTGAGTCTACAAGATGGCGTCAAAGTCAGTACTGTGTATGGTCACCATTGGCAGCAGTTACTGCTCGGCACAATCTCGGCACAGACCAGATAAGTCGACGAAACCTGCGGAATTCTTCCCCACTCTTCCTGCAATACGATGGCCCCTTGTGGAAGTGTCTGAAGCGTGTTTGACGTTGCCATAAACGTCGCTCGAGTTCAACCCATAGGTGTTCTATCGGGTTTAGATCTGATGATCGGGAAGGCCGTGACAAGATTTTGACGTTAGAATTGGCAAGGTATCGGACCGTGACGCGTGCTGTGTGTGAAGTAGCGTTGTCATGCTGGAACAACTCCCTCTGTCGGTTCATAATCGGAAGCATGTGACGTGCAAGGACTTCGATGATGTACCGGTTTGTCAAATTTTCTGTTTTCTTGGTGACGTTTTGGCGAATATTTCTTCAAACGCTTCTGAAAAAGAGGGAAAAGTTAATATTGCCGCATTTTGGCGCTGAAGCTGTTTACACACAATGATGATGTTTTGGAAAGAAATAGGATATTTGTAATGTTTTTGCTACATGAGTCCAATATTCTCAATATCACTTATGCGTTTCTTTTTCTTGAAGAGTGTATAAATTGAAATATGTCCTGTCCAGATAATAATTGTTTCATTGGCGTGATTGGTACCACTTTTGGCATAAAGGTGTACCATGCCACACAACTGTATAAAATGGGTTGATAAAGTCTTATGTTTGATGACATCGACAGTGTATTGTATCCTATCAAGATTACACAGCTTTTTCTGTTCCCATGATAAGGGGAGACTGGGGTCAATGGTAACACATTTTACTTAACTTGTCATAATTGGATACCAGTCAGTCAGTACTGTATAGTACATTGGTATATTGTCCTTAAAACGATCGTTACTTGAGGTTCCATATCATGTCGTTACTAAGTTATTACTAATAAAAAGCAAATGACTTCAATTGTAAACAATCAAACCCTTTCACGGGAAAATTGTAACAGGTTAATGGGGCAATTTTACAACGGAAGGTCAAGGAAAGATCATATCGAAACTCAAGTCTGGATGTAAACCCGGGGACTCCACAGTGTACCACTTACCTGAACTTTATCATTTTTATCAAAGGCATTAGATGAGGGTAAAGAAGCCCGAGTTATCCGAGTTTGGCACGCAGGGGTGGTATCAAAACTTGAATCCATAGGAATAACTGGAATAATTCTATTGCTTTGGTTTGAAAATTATCTCAGTGATAGGAAACAGTCGGTCGTATTAATGGCCACACATAAAGTCCGAAATCTGATGTTGGAGATTACGTCGTAACACAGCCTTTAACCTTTTATAAATTCCCTGCATGTACGAACTATATGCGGAAGGAGTCGACGTTATGTGGTTCCGTGCCATTTTCTTACGTTACACGTTGTTGTCCGCCACACGTTGTTTAAATAAAAGTGCAACCTTTCTCAAAATTTCCCCCCGATCCCACGATGCTCTGAGAAATTTCACAACGCCGTGCCAACTCCATGGAAACGTGGTAGAGCGTGACAAAGGTTTAAGATTATGAGTCTCTGAAAACTAGGGCGATGCATCGAACTATCGAACTATCGATGTATCGATGTTGTGTCTCAGATAGCAATTATTGAATGGCAGAAACGAAAAACTATCGATGTATCGATGGCATGTATGACTCTCGATAGTTTAGCAATTGACTTTTGTTGATAAAATACAGGTATTACCAGGGTCCCGTTTCACAAAGCTCTCGTAGCGCTACGACTATCGTAAGTCAATGGTACAGAATAGGAGGTAGGAATGCTACGAGGAAAGTTACAAGATCTTAGGCTTACGAGAGCTTTGTGAAACGGGACACAGATTCGTTCACTTTGGTTTAAAGTTATCCGACCCTGTTACATGTTAACTGTTTAATTTGTGGTATTCAAATTTCTTGTCAGTTATTAAAAGACACTGAAACTACTTCATTCTGTTTTTATTTCAAATAAACTATACATTCATTTGGGAAATGACTTCAAATGAGACAATTCAAGGAGAGAAAAACTATTGCTATAGTATTGCAATAGTTGGTCGCAATAAACTATCCCTATCGCAATAACACCCGTGAAGGTCGGGTTAGAATGAGAATTCAGTAACCCATGCTTGTCGTAAGAGGCTTGGTTGACACATGTCATCGGTTCCCAATTGTGCAGATCGATTCTCATGCTGTTGATCACTGGATTGTCTGGTCCAGACTAAATTAATTACAGACCGCCGCCATATAGCTGGAATATTGCTGAGTGCGGCGTAAAACTAAACTCACTCACTTAAATGAAAGAACAACTGGGCAGTGTACGTGTACTATCCCTGTCGCAATAGTATATGTTGCAATGGACTATCGCAATAGTTGTTCCCCCTTCAATAGTCACCCCTACTGAAAACTGTGGTGTCTGAAATGTGGGTCAATGCCGAATAAGACACGTAACTGATTGTGTTTCTTTAGGGGTGTAAATATAATAACTGTAGATAAATAGGTCACAACAGATAAACACCAATACAACCCACAGTTGTTCATTTCACACAATAGTCTACATGATGTTACGAGCTTATGTGGTCTGTGGTCTGCTTTTGGCTTGTTTAACCAAAGTTTAAAAAATGTGTACTATTGTGTTTTGATAATTTGTTGTTTTGTGATCTTTTTGTTCTTGATAATCTAACTACAGATAAAATTATATCTGCGATCACTTTATCTCTCTTAATCTAGAAGGCTGAAGAAAATATTTGGATCGCGATTTCAAGCCCCAGATGTTATACTACTGGCCTTTAGCTGACCTGGCAGGAATTAATTCCATTACTTTACAGCGGTTGGTGCTGCTGACATTCGTCTGTGTCAGAGAATATGTCCATTGAACTACACACCGGTCTGTGGAGCTAACGGGAAGACATACGCCAATACATGTGAAATGAACGTTCTGCCGTGCATGTAACCAACAGCATTTGGTTGGTTGGTTCGTTGTTGTTTAACGACGCATACAGCAGTATTCCACCTCTATGGCGGCCAACAAGAAAAACATTTAAAAAAGGCACCGGAGTAAATCCAGAAATTTAGTGAGAAGGACATGATTTGGGGGTGAAGCTGATTTCAAGAGCATCACGATGACCATACCTCCGTCTATTAGAGACATGCTTCGGTACTCGCATCTCAACTACGGTACTCTCATCTCCATATATGGCTAACTTACATAGCCATTTTATATTACTGTATTTTGTAAATATGTATTTTATGAATATCTTATTTCGTTCTATTTTTATACTCGTGTTTGAGTAGCCTACTTGTATGTTTACGACGGGCGGAGGGGTAGCCTAATGGTTAAAGCGTTGGCTCGTCACGCCGAAGACCCGGGTTCGAATCTCCACATGGGCACAATGTGTGAAGCCCATTTCTGGTGTCCCCCGCCTGATGTTGGTGGAATATTGCTAAAAGCGGCGTAAAACCAAACTCAGTCAGTCAGTCAGTCAGTATGTTTCCGATGTCTCTCATTGGTCGATCATTAGTCGACTAGTCGCAGCTTATCAATATGTGTGTGTGTGTGTGTGTGTGTGTGTGTGTGTGTGTGTGTGTTTTTTTTGTACTACGAGTGAAACTAAAATAAACCTGTCCCTCTGCAAACATGAGGACACGTGCTCCAATATAGTGCCACTACCGGATTGTTATTATTTCGGATTAACCATATAGTCACGTGGCTCCTACTTTGCTGCAGTTATATTCATCGGTCGTTTGGAACTGCCAAAATACAAAGGCTGAAAGCTCATTTTGAATATTCCAAGCGTATATAGAGAAAAAAACTACCCGTGAGACAAATTCAGCCTGATTCTAAGGTTGGATACGTTTACCAAAACACATGCATGCATTTTGCAATGCTATTTTTTGTTTGTTTTGTGCCACCTCGAGCAAGAGAGCTCTACATACTATAATGGGAGACGTTACATAATACGTTTAAGGAAGTTTGGAACAGTACTATTATAACATCGAGGAGTAGGCGTGTGAACTTGATGTGGGAAGAAAATCCTTTGTTTACTGGTCCTTGACGTTTACAGCTTTGGTGAAACCCACGAGTTTAGGTTTGGTGCAGACAAACCTGGATACCAGATCGAATCTGTGATCCGAACCTACAGGATCCGAACCCACAATCACAGGTAAGTATGTACTACAGAAGTTAAGGATATACCGATGTCAACACAAACTCATGCAAAAACGCACGTCAAGTGGCATTTTGTTTTATTTTACGTCACATGGAGCAATATCCCAGCCCAACATCATGTTATTGTAGACCTGAAATAATGTCTGTTACAATAACAATTGTTTGTTTTCATACAGATCTGATGAAACTGCCACGGTCAAGGTCGCACACCAGGGTGCTTGTTAGCTGTACATTTGAACGCATTAAAGCATAGTATGTACACAATTGTTAAAGTCATCCTTTTCAGTCAAACCCTAATTCATATAATGTAAAATGTTTCAAAAGGGGAACCCTGTCATCAGTTGCTGGAGAACAACATCATCAATTACTCGGTACTGCGCGACCTCTGTTAGCAATGTGCTCCATCCACATATAAGAGCTGAGACGGATAAGACTGGGGCGGTGCGGTAACCTACTGGTTAAAGTGTTTGCTCATTACGCCGAAGACCCAGGTTCGATTCCCCGCATGTGTACAAAGTAATATACATGATGGGGCTACAACAGGACCAATTTTAAAGCAATGGGGAAAAGTCTGTGGAGGCCCTTTCCGACTACTTTTCTGTGTATTGGACTACATTTTGTCTTCGTATACAGAAAGTAGTCCAACACACACAAAAGAAGTCCCGGTAGAGGAATAGTATACACAATGGCAGCGCGGGACCACTTTCTGTGTATTGGACTGCTTTTTGTCTTCCATTCTCCGTATACAGAAGAAACAACAACAAACGGCAACATGCAACCTATGACAACATATGACAATATGCAACATACGGCAACAAAGAAGACAAAATGTAGTTCTACACACACAAAAATAGTCCCGGCAGAGGAGTACTATACACAATGACAGTACGGGACCACCAATAGTATAGCAATGGGGGAAAAGGCCTGTGGATTCCCTTTCAACTACTTTTGAAACTCCGTATTGGAGTTCCACATGTTCCGCAATCTAGTAGAGCCAAACTTCTTCTTGCTTTATAGAGTTGGCATCTCTGCACGTAGAACGTGTATCTCCGTCCGAAAGTTTTTGCTTCGTGGGATACGTTTTTGTTTTCTATGCATACAAAATATGCAAATGTCCACATGGATCCCAAAATATCCAGGTTTAAAGGTTTGGGCATTCCCAGGATAAACTAGGAACAGTCAAAGCAAATCGAAGCAAACTCCACACAAATCTAAACAAACTCCAAGCAAGCTCCAAACAAAATACCTTGGTTCCTTTTAGGTTCCTCTCATAGGTTGGGAATTGCCAGGAAAAACTAGTAAAATCCAAGCAAAATTCAAGGAAAGCAAATCCAAGGAAAATCCAAGCAATCTCCAAGCAAAATACCTTGGTTCGTTTTAGGTTCCAGTCCTAGGTTTGGCAATTCCCATGCAGAACTCGCAAAATCCAAGGAAATTCGAAGCAAATCCAAACAAAATCCAGGCAAATCCAGGCAAAGTACTAGAGCGAAAAATAGAGGATTTCTCATCCATCCTAGGTATTTTGAAATATTTTGTATACACTGAAAACAAAAAGCGTATGAAGCAAAGAAAAGGAAAACTAGTAAAATCCAAGCAAAATCAGCAAACTCCAGGCAAATTCAAGGAAACTCCAAGCAAATCCAAGCAAATTCCAAGCACATCTAAGCAAATCCAAGTAAACTCCAAAGCAAAGCAAGATCCAAGTAAATCCAAACAAGATCCGAGCAAAAATACCTTGGTTCGTTTTAGGTTCCAGTTCTATGTTTTGGCAATTTCCATGAAAAACTAGCAAAATCCAACAAAATCAAAGCACATAC